TTTAGCAGCGCATATCTATACTGAATGTATTTCACAGGCCTCTTGACAGTTTTGGTGGGGTATACTTAATTTCTTTTGACAAAGAAAGAAGTAGTTTTATGTGTCTTGATTAATGAATATCTATATCTCCACAAAACAGATTATGCTGTATGTAAACATTAAGCTTTTATGATAAAAGTGACACCAGATTTTTTTTCTGTTGAGGGCACTCAATAGAAAGTCAAACAGAGCGCGAGCCCTAATACTCCATGTTCTGATGAACTATAGACAGTAAGAGCAAAATATGATAACTCAATCAAAACTGCCGACTCAATCAAAATTAATTGTCTGTCAATTTATCAGCGAGCGTTGCGGAGTTAATTAATTGACTGTACGTTGTACCGAGTGGTTGTGCGAAGACTGCAGATATTTTTGCTGTTCAATCTACTCTGTTTTAAGGATATGAAACGGTAAGAAGATGTTTGTATCCATATCACCAACGCTATTTTTACTGCATTTGTACCAAACTCTCCTCACCAGCAAATGCTGATGAAGGCTGCATGTGATTTCTGCAAATCTTTGATGGAAACGTACCACATTGAGTAGCAACGATGATGACAGCCAAAACCAATCTGATCAGTTCAGTGATAAATCTGGAGACCTCGCGAAAAAAAAATCTTAAACCAGGCTTCATAAGATCATTACAGGTGAATGGCAAGAAGCTTAACATAGGATTGAATGGTGTCGATCGAAAAAAAAAAGACGACGCCGCTTGGCAAACAGTACGGCGTTATTGATGAAAAAATAGATTAAAATTATTGCAAGTTCAGGTAACTCGTTCAAAGGAAAGAATGTCGCAAACATATTACACTTATCAAAGCTTCGGCAGCAACAGCTAGGTACGTTGGTCATAAACGACCCTCAGCCAGACGTCAATTTCTGTCAGCATAACGGTGTCTAATCACTGTATAATTTGAGAATCATGTTATTCTGCTAGACTTTCTTGTATAAAAGATAAGTATTTTAGTCTATTGACATACCGCACAGGCACCTTAGCCGTTTGTGGCGAAAAATTCTTGGAATACGCTGATCAATTCACTACCTTACTTGAAGAAAGCCGCGCACCTCCGCCACAAACGCATAAAGGTTTGTTTTGAATTGCATTCGCATCTTGCGCGTGGTTGCTGCACCCAGTGCAATGTCCGCAGGTGTTAAGAAGCAGGTAAGCTCAGCAAATGCTGCAGTTAATCGTTGCCGACGTCCAGCGTCCAAATTTTCCTGCTGACAACCAATCTCTTCCGCCAGCGTATGGTAGCGCGCTTGCTCAATTAATATAAGGGGGTATAAAGTGCCCGCACAAGCATCGAGAATGACAGGATTAAAGTTGTCAAAAAGCGCCATTCGGAAAATGACTCGTAAAAATATCATGAACATATCCGGGTGCTGCTGGAGATGAGAATTAAGTCCTGGCTTTTTGCTTTGTATTGCTCTCCAGTGGTGACAAGCTAATTCACCAAGTGCCTGAAAACTGTTTCGTACAACGTCCAGCGAAACGTGACGTATGCCGATTAATAGTGAATGTAGCAGCATTTGAAATAGATCACTTGGCAACAAAACAAGATTCTCGGCGTACACCTCAACCATGTAGGACACGAGTGTGAAATACTGCTTGCTCAAGCTTGGATATGCCAACAACTGCTCTGTCATGAGCGGGATCACCTGACACAGACCCGAAAAGACGACGTCGGCGACAACACTTAATGCACAATTAGCCTCGGCTTGCTCCACCCCAGTAGATGATTCTTCCGAGAAATCGATGACATCCTTTGCCGCCAGATGAGAGAGTAATGTAAGTAGAGCCAATAAATCGACATAACTTTCCTCTTCAGCATCCCCCTGCATGCTCTTTTTGCCTAAGTTATGGAAGCGGTAGGCACGAATGAGTTTGTCGCTTGCTGAGTACACTTGCATCGCATCACAAGGGGGAAGAAAGCACAATTGCGTTTCTACCATCGAGCAAAAGAATTGAAAAATGCAGTTTACGAGCTGCGAGTCGCTCTGGAAAACCTGAAAAATCTGTACGAAGATGGGAAGAGCAGGCAAGCAAAATGACGTGATAAGATTGTGACTTGTCGATTCAGCAGAACGTGCGATACCCGAATACATTTCAACAAGTAGCTTCAACTCTTCCTGCACATACACATCGTTTGAGATCTGCTTTGGCACAACATTTGGCACCTTGATGAGCTGTTGCAGGCGTATCGCGATGGGCTGGCTTACAGCCTGAAAGTGGGTCATCCGCAATTCTGAATCAGTCGATGTCATTCCAGCGCGGCACACTGCCTCTGTGAGTTGACCACGAAGACTAGTCGGAATTCTGGCAACAGCAGCACGAAGCGGAGAGTTGTTGTCACTTAAACCAACAAGAAATGTTCCAGCAGTGCCATTCGCTTGCGCTAACGATTGCCACAGATCTGAGCGTACAATTGAATTAATGGCTCGCGTATTTGAGAGTACCAGGAAAAATTCGATTATGTATTCCATAACCACGGGCTGTGTCGGCCAGTGAAGGAGGTAAATTACTGCTTTCTCAACAACGAAATACAACAATTTACCACCGCGACCTTCATTCTCAAAGCCGAAAGTCTGAATGAGCGCTGGTGCTCTTGTACCTTTATGCTCAAGGTTATCCGGAATCAGGTACGTGGCGCACAGGCGCGTAATTGATTCGATCAGTCCTTCAGATAAAAAGGGACTGACACATTCATTCGTTGGATTTCGTGCGAGACGCGATGTTTCAAACTCCAAAACGTGATTTAGGATCACGATAATGAGATTAATAATAGGCGAATCTTCAGCTTTGGTATCATTTTGAAATGTGGTGTGAATCCGGTTTGGAATACTTGGTCGTTCACCTTTATAGTCATCCGCAAGGAATAGCCCCGCAAACACGATAGTAAAATACAGCTTTTCAAAAAGCTGTGATAGTTTTGGAGTCATTTCATCATGATTGTGCACCGCCGTCAATTCTTGCTGGATGCTTTGTATCAACGACTGCACGAGCATAAGTAGCAATGAGGCTGACTCAGAAGAGTTAAGTCTGGCAAGTGCAGCAGCCAATTCATACTGTTCACGAGCACTACTTCGAGCATTGTCCTCGACGTCCTCATCTTCATCCTGTTCGGCTAGCACCTCCACGGCACACAACTCTAATTGAACTTGCAGATAGAGCTCCACAACAGGAGACGAAGCTTTGCGAAGAATGGCGAGCGCTTGTTCCGCTTCCAACTTAGGACACACTGCATCAGTAAGTAGCGGGTCATTCACGAGCGCTATCCAAGCATCTAGCAAAATGTCGACGCCCTCCAGTTCCCAAAGTTCACCGATTGTATCATTTGGATGTTCGTGCAAGTGACACTTAGTCCGCTCCAAAGCTGAATGCAGAAGCTTGCAAGTCAAGGAGGCTAGCTCTTCGATAAATGAAGGAAATAGCTGTCCAGAGCTCACTTGAAGGAGTGCATCTAGACCGATGTTATTCGCGAGTCTCAAGAGTATTTGGCAACAGTCGACCAACTCTTGCGTGGCCATCTGACATCCAATGCTGTCATTTTTTGCCACCAAGTCAAAAAATGGATCGTGCACAACTGTGGTGACGCCGCGAAAGATCTCAGCCAAAAACTGTACCTGTTCTTTCCTATCCTCAAAAATAGGGCCTTGTATTGATGCTAACTGAATAAGAAATTGACGAGCTAAATGAAGTAGCGTCTCGTTTTTCGCAGCTACAGTGCGGAAAAAAGCATAGGTATTGAACGCCGAGTGTATTAGTTCTGGACGAACTATTATCGGTCTCCATGAAGCTTGTGGAGTCAGTGTTGGCCTGTTGCTAATATCGCTTTCGTCCGTCGTAGTGCTTAGACTCCATGTCAAGTTACCTTCCCGTAAATCCTCGTGTTGCCAATTCAAAAGTTCCCCACAAAGCTGAAAAGCTGTATCCAATAGCTCTATTTGTTCTGCAGGAATATTTCCCGTCGATCCTGCAACTCCGCATGCTGTCGTTGTGCTACGAATTGAGTCTTCTAATAATGACACAGCAAGTGCAACAATATCTTTCAATTCACCACTTTTTTCGAGCATGCGTCGCGACCTAGTGTGGAACTCGATGGGCTGCATCATATTACTTGCTCTCGACGCTGACGAAAACTCATTCACGAATGATAAAAACCATTTCGCAGCTAATAAACGATGAGTAGTAGCCTTATCTGGCTGCAACATTGCACCCAGTTGTTGCAGCACAGCCACTCGCTCTGACTCGAGTCGGTCTAGCCAGCCTCGCTTAACTAATAATACCGCCGTCTGCAGTGCCGTGGCTGCCACAAATTTTGGCAGCTCAGCATATCTATCCAACAGAAGCTGCATGATAAAGTCTAGTACCTGTGACTTGTCTGACAGCGCTAATTGTGACCATCGTTGAAGTGTCACTTCGCGAATGGTGGCTACGCAATGGAACTGCACTATGGGCGGCGTTTGACGATTCTGCAAGAATGTTATCGAGTCGCTTAGTGCGTCTGAGTTTTGCTTAAATTTCGTTAAGAAATTTTCAGCTTGGGCGCGGCGGAGCTCAGACTCTGATCCCGTAGGGGGCGCGTGCAGCGCCGTGCATGCCGCCAACAGCGAATCCATTTGATGATGGTGAGTTTACTATTCAAAAATCGCATCTGAACGGTGATCATCATTCTCAAATATTTTGCTTCATTCCGCTAAAAGTATTTCTTCTTGAGATGATTTTCTTGAATTTTCTTGTACATATCGCCATCCAAAAGTCCAATTTAATTTTGGTAAAGATTACCACTTACGGTTACAACATTCGTGATACACCCCGTACAAATCTGATTTTTTTAGCGCTGCTCTCCAACCTTCAAATACTCATACACTTTGGTCTATAATCACGGATAATGTGAAGTAGGACTGGAGCCTTGCGAGCTTGACCATTACAGATTTAATACAATTGTACGTAATTTATATTTAAACTTCATATGTACCGATATAATTATGTAAAGGCGGACCGCAAGCCCTTGATGGGTGGACAAGAAATTAAAGTGCATCTTATACGTCTGGTTAGGCGGTGCAATCTCTCGCAGTACATGCCGCCTCAAATTTCTCATATTTATTATGTCTCTTCCACAGGAATACTATGCGTTACTGTTCATTCTCGCGTGCGGACTCCTAGCTGCAGCGGGGCTGCCGTAGCATTGCGCTAAGTAGAAGCGTCATTTAGGTCACCGACCTTTCGTTCTATACTTAGAACAAGTACGAGTTAGCAGATCGCAATCCGCTCACTCCAACAGTAATGATTGCCTTGACCCATGGCTAATTACTCTTCCGTTTAAAATCCAAAACTGATTTTTACTTATTTTTATCTGCGGCAAAGCCGCCTAATTTTAAAGGTATAGATTTTCCTAAATATACTAAAGAG